GTCTACGAGATTTCGATGTCTTTTCCTAAACACAACGTCATTGGCATGCCGTACTGTGAACTCGGTGCCCTCTACAACATGATAGGCATGATCGGTCAGCGTCAGATTGACCACTACCTCCTTCAGATGTGCAGTGCCGTCAAGTACCTGCATGGTCAGAACATCGTACACAGGGACATCAAGCTGGACAACATCTTGCTGGACGCGGAGCATCACCTGTACATCACGGACTTCGACATGTCCTGCAAGGTCCAACCTGGCTGTGTGCTGGTCAACAGGAAGGTTGGAACTGTTCCGTACATGGCACCAGAGATGCTGCAAAACCCAGAAGGATGGTACGACGGATTTAAGGTAACGTGTCTCTTGTTGCACTTATTAATAGTTTGTGTGCTAGTTAGAAAACATAGTTTTTTACAACCATTAAGATAGTCTTACTAAAACCTATTAGCATAAGCAAAATGCTAGTTGATTTAACATTTTTACGTTTTCTATCTCCAGCTTGACATGTATGCACTTTGTATCCTCAGCTTGACATGTATGCCCTTGGCGTAGTGCTGTGGTGCCTGCTCTTTCAATGTGATTGTGACGAGCCAGAAGAAACCCTGGACTACCTGAAGATGACCAAGACGTTTGTCTGGCCGTTCCCCATGCTGTTGTATAAGAATGTATTGGAGAACCTTCTCCACCCTGACCCCGCCTCCAGGTGGGACATCTCACAGCTGATAGAAACTCTGGGAGAGGCCGCCTGGCTGGCAGAGAGAGTGCAGCAGCTCTAGATGTAAAAGCACGTTTGGTTCGTATGGTCTTTTAGGTTTTATTTTATTTCATCTCCTTTTCTATTTGTCTCCTTTTTCTCTGCATGTTTTTTTCTTCTCACTTTTGTTTCTTTCGTAAATACTAAAATATTTCACGCTAACATTTTTTTCTCACACTTCATGTAATTAAAATCTTGCTGTTTTTAACGTGTCAATCTGTATTTTAACAAATTTACTATCCTAGAAATCAAAATATGTTTATAGCTACTCTATTTGAAACACTCATTAACCTTAAATAATTATCATTAACACGTCTTGATTTACCAGTGCATGGTTCATTGATTGTCAAGAAAAAAATTGAATATTTAACAGAATTATTTTTAAAACGTTTGGCTGTTTTCATTTAATTCGGAATAGCTTCAGTGGTTTTAAATCAGACTAAGAAAATAAAACATTTATTTTGGAATAATTTCTGATGCATATAAGAAATAATGTATGAAATATTACCATAAAGCAAATAAGATTTAACCAGAATTTAATATTTAGATCAGTTTATATAAAATTGCAAATCTATAGTGCTTAATTTAACAATAGATCTCATGGTATTAATGAATTAGCAGTTATTTAAATTTTAGTTCATGCCTAAATAAGAATAGAAAACAATGGAGGCCATTTGCTTCTGGGCCTACATTTGTATATTTAAATTAAGAAAAGGCATCATTAATACATCGCTTAATAGGAATAACATCGCACCTTAACTACCGTAAAACCAGTCGGAAATTTGATATTCCTTTAATTGCTCTTAAACTCATTATTAAACTTTAAACTCAAAACACTTCTAAACATAACATTTAAAAACTGGTTATATATTTTTTTAAAGTTTTAATTTTCTGTAAAACAATAAATATTAATTTTGTTTGATGTGGTAACTAACACACTAATAAACTAACAACTGTTGTGGCCCCGGTTGGCCAAACATTTTTAATCAGGCCACACTGGCCCCGCCATTGTGACGGTCCCAAGCCCGTGAAAACTGAGAGGGAAAATGGTCGATTTGAATTGCTGTAGACCTCCTGGAACATCATCAGATAAATAGAAAATTTAAAGCTTTTTATTGAATTGTTTACCTAGGTCATATGAAGAAAGCATACATTGAATAGCTACTTAACAGAATCGTGTTCGCATATTTAATATAAATATTTTTAAATAATAATTTACTTGTATTTACTTCGCATTATTTTGAAAGTGATAAATTATATGGCTGTCTCTCTTAAAAAAAAATTTAATTTATTAATTTAAAATAATTCATTTCAAAGTTTATCGGTGATGACATAAGCACAAAATTAGCACCCAAACTCATTATGACATGACATTGAGTTTTAAATCTGGAACTTAAAATCTTACATTACGTTCGTGAATATGCTATGTGAGCTTGATATGTGTAATGGCTTGCGGTGTTTGTTTTATCACAGTGCTTTTCTATATATATATTATTAAATTAGATTAAAATTCGTTAAAATGTATGTTTTAAATTAGTTTTTTTTTTAAATGGTTGAGAAACAGTTATTTTTTAATTTGCTTAGTAAAAAAATATAATGCCCCGATCCTTTCATTAGACTGCTTAAAAATGAGTAGTAACTCATTATCGAAAGGACCTATCATCGAGATGACCCATCAAATCTACGATTAGACACTATAAGTATTATATAAGTGTTTTAAGTGCAAGCGCGAACAAAGTTAAAACAAAACAACTAACAGACAAATAAAAATCTGACAAAAACCAATCAACAAACCTTACTTAAACCACTTATTAAAAAATGGACAAACGAACGAAAAGTAACTCACTAATAGACAAACAACCAACGACAACTAGCCCACTAACAGTCAACCAACGAACGATAACTAACCCACTAACAGACAACCAACGAACGACAACTAACCCACTAACAGACAACCAATGAACGACAACTAACCCACTAACAGACAACCAACGAACAACAACTAACCCACATACAGACAAACAACGAACAACTAACCCACTAACAGACAACCAATGAACGACAACTAACTCACTAACAGACAAACAACGAACAACTAACCCACTAACAGACAAACAACGAACAACTAACCCACTAACAGACAACCAACGAACAACAACTAACCCACATACAGACAAACAAGGAACAACTAACACACTAACTGACAACCAACCAAACACGGAAAAATAAGATATTTATAGCAAGCCAACTAGCTGTATAGTCATCAACAACAAGCCAACAAGCCGTCTAATCATTAACATTAACCATATCAGCCCTCATGTCATTCACTATAATAGTTGTCAAATAAAAAATATTAACTGGTGTTAAATATAATAAGATAAGCCAAAACATCAATAGCAAGCCAACTAGCAGTCAAGTCATCATGTATGATACAAATTTCCAAAGGCAAACAGTCGAAAGTATGATTCTTTATTTTGTTTTTCTATTCTTTTCTGTTGGGTTTTTTATGCATATTTTTTAAAAAATTAAAGAATTTTTTTTTTGCTTTATTTAAATCATAATATTTCCGTTTGCTTTTCACTTTAAAACACGCAGATTTAAAATGAGCGAAATTATAAAATTAAATGAATACTGGAGTTATCTGAACTTGAAATAAGTTGTCTGTTCTGACGTCAGCGTATATTTAAAATACCAGTTTGTCCGGGTTAAGAATCTATATATATAATTCTCTTCTGAGAGCCGTTAGAAAACAAGCTGCAAGCGCCTCCTTGCAGTCGCCTCTCTTTCTCTCTATCACTACCACCCCCACCCCACCCCCACATTGTTTGGTGAGCTGTGGTCACGCTGTTTACATTTTACAATCATAGAGACGGGTTTGGTGACGGCTATTAGGGGCAGATAATTTAGTTTGAAACTATTTTAAACTTAGAGGAGGTAACTAAGAGGAGGCTGCTTTCGCGTGGGGGGGGGGGGGGGTTTAGTGTTTTTAAGCAAATATTTTCAGTGGCAGCATTGGTACTGTCGAATTCACAAATTATAAATTACTGAAAAGTAGAAAAACAACAACTAAATAGCGGCGTATGATACGCAGCGGGTCGGCTCGTGTAGGAAATTCCATGTCCACGCGCAGTTGGTTTGGCCAAGTCCTCACCCAGTTCGGCCATGTCCTAACGCAGTTGATTTGGCCATGGAAGTAAACACGAAGAAACACAAATATAGAAGCTTAATGCATTTTGTATAGTTTTTCAATTTTTTAATAACTTAATTCCTCAAAATCAAGTACAACAGCAGAGTGGCGCAGTGGAAGCGTGCTGGGCCCATAACCCAGAGGTCCGTGGATCGAAACCACGCTCTGCTAGATATTTTGTTTTCATGACAAAGAACTCATTATTCTTCTGTATTAATGACAGAATATTAACTGTAAATCTGTGTGTAGTGGAATTGCTTTGGAATGTGATTTGGTGTTGTGATTTTTAATTCGGTAGGTTTACATTGAATTAAAAGGAAAATGATTAAGTAAAATAGTTGGTTAGTTAAAAACCATTGGCTCGAGGTAATATTAAACCATCCTCTAGACAATTGTATTTAAGGCAGTCAGCTCTATTTATATTTGTTTTATTAAACAATTAAAGAAATACGAAAAATAAACTAAACTCATTATAATTTGTTTTGATAAGGGTTAACGATGTTACATGACTAGTTATTAAAACAAATTAACCCACTTATAAAATAAGTGAAACGATGTTAGTTTAGGAACATGTGATTAGGCGACTTCTCACATGAAGCGATATAAAAACATTGTCTAAAGTTTTGACAAGGTGAATCCAGGTTTTGGTCCGCTGATCGCCACCGATGTTATTTTTTCCGATGGCTGTTTACCTTGAGCGAGACAGGTAACAATAGACGTCATTACTTCCAGTGGTTGCGCGGTCACGCCTATCTGGTCATGCGTGTTTAGAGGTGGGGGCCGTGATGCAACAACAAAAATACAAATTTGCTGTTACTTCTGATGATCCTGATGTTTACATTTCACCACCTTTTCACCGCAATGCAACGAACGATATTTTAACGAGGTATTGTTCAAGTGAACTGACCATGACGTAACTTCAGCTTAGGTACATGTTGGGAGGGCTAATATAAGGCCAGTGGATCTTTCGATCAACCATTTCATTTCCGTAGTTGGTGGATGAGATTTCTCAGTTTACTGAATAAAAAAATAATGTCTATCTCAGTTACGGTTTTTGATATGGGAAAACTCGACATGTTCGAAATCCTTGGTGTTAGAAAAGTGGAGACTCTTGAAAGGACCAAACAAAAGATATACTTGGCTACACTAGAGGAAGACCCCACGGTGAAGAAAGTTCTGAAAGTGTTCAAGAATACCAAGAGATCGTACCAAGCTTTCCTGCTTGAAGTGAGAGTGTTGGAGAAGATTTGCCATCCCAACGTCATGGTCTACGAGATTTCGATGTCTTTTCCTAAACATAACGTCATTGGCATGCCGTACTGTGAACTCGGTGCCCTCTACAACATGATAGGCAAGATCGGTCAGCGTCAGATTGACCACTACCTCCTTCAGATGTGCAGTGCTGTCAAGTACCTCCTTGGTCAGAACATCGTACACAGGGACATCAAGCTGGACAACATCTTGCTGGACGCGGAGCATCACCTGTACATCACGGACTTCGACATGTCCTGCAAGGTATAACCTGGCTGTGTGCTGGTCAACAAGAAAGTTGGAACTGTTCCGTACATGGCACCAGAGATGCTGCAAAACCCGGAAGGATGGTACGACGGATTTAAGGTAACGTGTCTCTTGTTGCACTTATTAATAGTTTGTGTGCTAGTTAGAAAACATAGTTCTTTACAACCATTAAGATAGTCTTACTAAAACCTATTTGTATATGCATAAAGCTAGTTGATTTAACATTTTTACGTTTAGTATCTCCAGCTTGACATATATGCACTTTGTATCCCCAGCTCGACATGTATGCAAGTTGTATCCACATTTTGACATGTATGCACTTTGTATCCCCAGCTCGACATGTATGCACTTGGCGTAGTGCTGTGGTGCCTGCTCTTCCAATGTGATTGTGACGAGCCAGAAGAAACCCTGGACTACCTGAAGATGACCAAGACGTTTGTCTGGCCGTTCCCCATGCTGTTGTATAAGAATGTATTGGAGAACCTTCTCCACCCTGACCCCGCCTCCAGGTGGGACATCTCACAGCTGATAGAAACTCTGGGAGCGGCCGCCTGGCTGGCAGAGAGAGTGCAGCAGCTCTAGATGTAAAAGCACGTTTGGTTCGTATGGTCTTTTAGGTTTTATTTTATTTCCTCTCCTTTTCTATTTGTCTCCATTTTCTCTGCATGTTTTTTTCTTCTCACTTTTGTTTCTTTCGTAAATACTAAAATATTTCACGCTAACATATTTTTCTCATACTTCATGTAATTAAAATCTAACAATCTTGCAGTTTTTAACGTGTCAATCCCTGTTTTAACAAGTTTACTATCCTAGAAATCAAAATATGTTTATAGCTACTCTATTTGAAACACTCATTAACCTTAAATAATTAATATTAACACGTCTTGATTTACCAGTGCACGGTTCATTGATTGTCAAGAAAAAAATTGAATTATTTTTAAAACGTTTGGCTGTTTTCATTTAATTCGGAATAGCTTCAGTTGTTTTAAATCAGACTAAGAAAATAAAAAAAATTTTGTTGGAATAATTTCTGATGCATATAAGAAATAATGTATGAAATATTACCATAAAACAAATAAGATTTAACCAGAATTTAACATTTAGATCAGTTTATATAAAATTGCAAATCTATAGTGCTTAATTTAATATTAAATCTCAGGGTATTAATGAATTAGCAGTTATTTAAATTTTAGTGCATGCCTATATAAGAATAGAAAACAATGGAGGCCATTTGCTTCTGGGCCTACATTTGTATATTTAAGTTAAGAAAAGGCATCATTAAAACATCGCTTAATAGGAATAACATCGCACCTTAACTACCGTAAAATCAGTCAGAAATTTGATATTCCTTTAATTGCTCTTAAACTCATTATGAAACTTTAAACTCATAACACTTGTTAATTTAACATTTAAAAACTGGTTATATATTTTTGAGTTTTCATTTTCTGTAAAACAATAAATAAAAATTTTCTTTGATGTGGTAACTAACACACTAATAAACTAACAACTGTTGTGGCCCCGGTTGGTCAAACATTTTTAATCAGGCCACATTGGCCCCGCCATTGTGACGGTCCCAAGCCCGTGAAAACTGAGAGGGAAAATGGTGGATTTGAATTGTTGTAAACCTCCTGGAACATCATAGGAGAAAATAGAAAATTTAAAGCTTTTATTGAATTGTTTATACTGGTCATTTGGTAACAAGACAGTATACATTGATAAACTACTTAACAGAATCGTGTTCGGATATTTAAATATAGATATTTTTAAATAATAATTTACTTGTATTTACTTCGCATTATTTTGAAAGTGATTAATTATATGGCTGTCTCTCTCATTATTTTTTATTTATTAATTTAAAATAATTCAATTCAAAGTCTATCGGTGATGACATAAACACAAAATTACCACCCAAACTCATTATGACATGACATTGAGTTTTAAATCTGGAACTTAAAATCTTACATTGCGTTCGTGAGTATGTTACGTGAGCTTGATATGTGTAATGGCTTGCGGTGTTTGCTTTATCACAGTGCTTTTATGTATACATTTTATCAAATTAGATTAAAATTCGTTAAAACGTATGTTTTAAATTAGTTTTTTTTTAAATGGTTGAGAAACAGTTATTTTTTTATTTGCTTAGCAAAAAAAAATATTAGACTTCCATTAGACTGCTTAAAAATAAGTAGAAACTTATTATCGAAAGGACCTATCATCGAGATGACCCATCAACTCTACGATTAGACACAATAAGTTTTATATAAGTGTTTTAAGAGCAAGCGCGATCAAAGTTAAAAAAAACAACTAATAGACAAAAATCTGACAAAAACCAATCAACAAACCTTACTTAAACCACTAATCAAAAATGGACAAATAAACGAAAACTAACTCACTAATAGACAAACAACAAACGACAACTAGCTCACTAGCAGACAACCAACGAACGACAACTAACTCACTAACAGACAACCAACGAACGACAACTAACCCACTAACAGACAACCAACGAACGACAACTAACTCACTAACAGACAAACAACGAACAACTAACCCACTAACAGACAACCAACTAACAACTAACCCACTAACAGACAAACAACGAACAACTAACCCACTAACAGACAACCAACGAACGACAACTAACCCACTAACAGACAAACAACGAACAACTAACCCACTAACAGACAACCAACGAACCACAACTAACCCACATACAGAAAAACAAGGAACAACTAACACACTAACTGACAACCAAGCAAACACGGAAAAATAAGATATTTATAGCGAGCCAACTAGCTGTATAGGCATCAACAGCAAGCCAACAAGCCGTCTAATCATTAACATTAACATATCAGCCCTCATGTCATTCACTATAATAGCAGTCAAATGAAAACTTTTAACTGGTGTTAAATATAATAAGATAAGCCAAAACATCAATAGCAAGCCAACTAGCAGTCAAGTCATCATGTATGATACAAATTTCCAAAGGCAAACAGTCGAAACTATGAATCTTTATTTTGTTTTTCTGTTCTTTTCTGTTGGTTTTTTTTATGCATATTAAAAAAAAAATGAAAGTATTTTTTTTTGCTTTCTTTAAGTCATAATACTTCCGTTTGCTTTTCACTTTAAAACACGCAGATTTAAAATGAGCGAAATTATAAAACTAAATGAATACTGGAGTTATCTGAACTTGAAATAAGTTGTCTGTTCTGACGTCAGCGTATATTTAAAATACCAGTTTGTCCGGGTTAAGAATGTAGAAAATTCCATGTCCTAACGCAGTTGATTTGGCCATGGAAGTAAACACGAAGAAACACAAATATAGAGATTTAATGAATTTTGTATAGCTTTTCAATTTTTTAATAACTTAATTCCTCAAAATCAAGGTCAACAGCAGAGTGGCGCAGTGGAAGCGTTCTGGGCCCATAGATATTTTGTTTTCATGACAAAGAACTCATTATTCTTCTGTATGATACAATATTAACTGTAAATATATGTGTAGTGGAATTACTTTTCAATGTGATTTGGTGTTGTGATTTTTAGTGCGGTAGGTTTACAATGAATTAAAAAAAGAATATGATTAATGTAAAATAGTTGTTTTGTTAAAAACCATTCGCTCGAGGTGATTATAAACCATCCTCTAGACAGTTGTATTTAAGGCAGTCAGCTCTATTTACATTTGATTTATTAAACAATTTAAGAAATACGAAAAATAAACTAAACTCATTATAATTTGTTTTGATAAGGGTCAACGATGTTACATGACTAGTTATTAAAACAAATTAACTCACTTATAAAATAAGTGAAACGATGTTAGTTTAGGAACATGTGATTAGGCGACTATTTATCTCACATGGAGCGATATATAAACATTGTCTAAAGTTTTGACAAGGTAAATCAAGGTTTTGGTCCGCTTATCGCCACTGATGTTATTTTTTCTGTCCGCTGTTTACCTTGAGCGAGACAGGTAACAATAGATCTCGATACGTACCAGTGGTTGCGCGGTCACGCCTATCTGGTCATGCGTGTTTAGAGGTGGGACCGTGATGCAACAACAAAAATACAAATTTGCTGTTACTTCTGATGATCCTGATGTTTACATTTCACCACCTTTTCACCGCAATGCCACGAACGATATTTTAACGAGGTATTGTTCAAGTGAACTGACCATGACGTAACTTCAGCTTAGGTACATGTTGGGAGGGCTAATATAAGGCCAGTGGATATTTCGATCAACCATTTCATTTCCATAGTTGGTGGATGAGATTTTTTAGTTTACTGAATTAAAAAACATTGTCTATCCCATAAAGCAATATTTAAACATTGTCTAAAGCTTTGACAAGGTGAATCCAGTTTTTATCCACTGACCGACATTGATGTTAGTTTTTTGTGTCGGCTGTTTACTCTGAGCGAGACGGGTAACAATAGATCTCGTTAGGCCCCACTGGTCACGCAGTCACGCTTATCTGACCATGCAGTCTAGAGGTGGGGTCGTGATGCAACAGATTTGTTTACAAATATGTTTTTATTTAGTATATTTTATTTAAAAAATAATTAAGAAAATTAATTAGTTTTGTTTTTTTAGTGCAAGAATCTAATGACCCCCCCCCCCCTCAATTAGACTGTTTAAAAAAACAATAAGGCATGGAAGTAGTTTGAACGTTTGCCTATCTTTCACACTACAGTCGTGTGTCAGTGACTGCTGAACAATCCTCAATGTATTAGATCAATTTACTTTTTACAAAACCACTATCAAGTTCTATAAAGCAAATATTTTTTAATTTAAAAAAAAGTCGAATTTTGAAACAAATAATTTTGAATTTTTTGTAAAAAAAAGGCAATTTGCGGCCCCCTAGATGCCGCCCCCCCCCCCCTTGCACTCACCCCACGCGTTGCGGGGTTCTATTCCGCTTCTTGAATAGAATGGAAGAGGTAAAGTATAATGTGATAGACGTTAATAGACATCAATAGAATATGGTAGAATATAGTTCAGTTTAGTCAAAATAATTAAAATTGAGAATAATGTAATAGCTTAAAATTTTAAAAAAATAGTAGACGACAGTAGAATAAAGTAGAATAAATTAGATCGTACAAGAATATATTATAGCACCGCAGTAAAAAGTAAAATGGAGTAGAATTTAATATTCTTTCTTTAACATAAAAAACCACACAACCTGAGACTCACATATCATTATATCATATAGCACGCACCACAATCCACACTTAATCGCACTAACACTTCAATCCACTCACGGCACATCATAAATACCACTCGCCAGGACATACACGCTTACCACTACGTATACCACACATACAGGAAGTACAAATGAAAACAAATTAATGTGAGGGAGTTAAATGGAGTCGAAAAGTCACTAGAGTGAAGTAAAGGTAAGTTTAGACTTAGTAGCCTTCTAAATATTTTAAATAGGTAATAATTTTAAATAATTATTACGGTATATCAACACGCAATGTTAAACAGACGGCATGATCGCATCAAGTGCTACGTATTTTCCTTAAAAGGTGCATATTTACATTTTTTTAACTTCATTCATCATTTCATTTCATCCACTAGGGAGCATAGGGCT